AATGGTGGTAGCAACATTAGCGATAAACTGTTTAAAATTAACTCTGTTACAAAAACTAGAGGCCATCACCTAAAATTGGTGGAAAAAAAATTCCAGCACAAGGGGCGAAGGGGGTTCTTCACAGTAAGATCAGTTAGGGTCTGGAACTCACTGCCACAGGCGGTGATTTCAGCAAATAATGTGGAATTGTTCAAGAAACTTTTGGACGATTTCTTAAGCGACCGTAATATACAGGGGTACGGGTACTCCTAGAATGAGATCCTAATAGGTTGGACTTGATGGACTAATGTCTTTATTCAACCTCAAATACTATGTAACTATGTAACTATGTTACAATGAATATCAGGAACATCTGACCCCAGTGCCTGACTGAATTTCCTGTGGAGAAAATGTTGAATTTTTTAGTCTTCAGGCCTAATAAAATCTTCATAAAAAAGGAAGACAGCCTGCAATGTGAGTCATGAAAATGTGCACATATATACCTAAACACTGCACCCCTTCATTACCACAATAAATGCTAATCACTTCCAAAGGTGGAAATGGACTTAAGACCTTTAAAAGGCCAATCCAACCAAAAGTAATATATTAGTTACAAGGTCAGCTTTGTGGTAGAGTCAGCACCTTGCTTCTTATATGTCTTGGGTACTCTAGAGAGTGACCTCTCCATGCTTTAAATTGTGACACCTGGGTATTTCCAGTGTTCCCATCCACCTTTGTATGTTCCCGCACCTCAGTTTGCAAAATATACTGTATATAAATACTTAAATATATGTATATTCCAACATGGAGAGTGGGAAAAGCTCATAATAGCCATAGCAGGTATGCAAACTTAGGAACTCAATAGCAAAGATCTCACAAGTAGGGTGTACAACTGTCATGGGATTTAACACTGCAAAATCTACCAAAAAATGAAATATTATTTTTGTGTGGAATGACCCTCTAAGCTACAATAAATTCATGATTTTAGTAATAGTTACTGGTAAGCAGAATCAGAAGCAACAGTGTTTGACAATTAATAGGAGTTGATTGGAATAAAATTATACTTGCTTATTTTTATAAAGAATGAACATCAAATGCGTGTTTTTATGTTAACATACTTGAAAAATGGATAACCTAGAGCTATGAAATACTGCAAAATTAATCTGCATCATTGTAGCAGCCAAGGGATAAACATGCTGAGACAATTGTGTAAATATTTAACACTTTAATAAAATCAACAAACTATCCCTGAATACACATGCGTGATCCCTAGCTTGGCATAATTCATCTGTATGTTTTTACCCCAAAATAACTAAAAGAAAAATAATCGATTTGTCTCTGTTAGGTAATTAAAGCTGTTGAGGAAGGTTACCGGTTGCCAAGTCCCATGGATTGCCCGGCTGCTCTTTATCAGCTCATGCTGGATTGCTGGCAGAAAGACCGGAACAGCAGACCCAAGTTTGAAGAGATTGTCAGTATGTTGGACAAGTTGATCCGTAACCCAAGCAGCTTGAAGTCACTTGTTAATTCATCTAACAGGTAAATCATATTTTAAGACACATATATCATATAAAAATATATTTATACATATGACTAAAAATATTTGTAAACACAAAAATCGCAAACCATGATATAGCTTTCTTGTAATAATAGTGTGCCTGCAAGCACTGTGTTTCCCAGCTTCAACAGGAGATTTAAAATATCTTTAAGCTTTGCAGTCAGCCTTCCATAATAAAAACAGTAGTAAACTCCCCGGTTTTCCGCTGTCATGCCACCCCGTGCACTCACTCTTCAGAGTATAGGACATCATACTGATGTGTCCTATACACTAATGGAGTCAGCACTGTATATCACTCAGGCAGCTCCTCACTCCCCGCCCATATGTTTACATTGACAGTGGCTCCTATACGGAGAAACGCTTTTAATACAGCAGTGCAGTGATGACAGGTCTCCATGGAGTGAAAGAGCTCCTGGAACCTTTGAAGTCATCAGAAGCCACCAAGCTTTAGTTTCAGTCTTCAGAGCTGGAGAAATAAATAATTTAGCCATCTACTGACCACCACTGAAACATCCAAAAACTGAATTTGCATTTTTTTTCTAGATTTGATAAACACAGCATTTTAAAGAAAGTATAAGGTTTGCTATTGTGGCTTTTCAAGCTTAGACTTTTCAGATACCTAAGTAATACTGCTGCTGCTAATACAGCTACTGCTGCTACCACTACTACTACTACTGATAATAATAATAATTATTATTATTATTATCAGCAGCAGTAACAACATTAGAGCCAAAACTTTTTTGTAGGGAATGGTTAGAAACCCTGTGAGAATTTCTATCTGTATTCTGTTGGGGTGATTTCTCTTTCCATTGTAAGATTTTCCCTATATTCTTGTGTTAGTGACAACATTTTGGATTTCCATAATTTCCTATCTCATGTCAATGCTTGCCAGGGCAAATAGAGAGTGTAAATCTCCCAAGACTTACTTACAGTAATAAAAACATAAGTATTTCCTACTAAAATAAATTGGCTAGAGATACACTTTAAGTCATAGGTCACTGTTACCCTTAAATTGCAGGTTACTTTAGAAATGCCTTTATAGAGGATCTAGAAAAGTGCTGCCATATGCTGCCCCAAAATGCTACAAATGTACAAAAGCCATTAAAAAACATTTAACCCTTATAAGAGCTTCAGCAGTCTGGCTCAGCAATGTAAACAGGAGGACTTGATGAGAGGGAATCTGTAATAGGATAATAATGATGCTTTTGGCTGACACTCAAGGTCACATCAAGAAATTGAATTACGTTAATTATGAAAAATTGTGCTGCTACCTGTAAATTACTGGGAGTATAAAAATATTTGCTGACTAAAAGGCCATATATTTAATGCAAATTGCTGGCACAAGCTTTCTGTAAAAATAGAATGCAGGTAGTAACTATTATTTCACACCTCTGTCCCTTTTCAGAAAGGCAAACTTAACACTATATTGAAAATGCCAAAATATGCTACAAATTATTTTTAAAGCTGAACTCCAGACGGGCATTACAAAATAATTATTGCACTCATGTATTTTTTTTTTAAATCATTAAATGTTTTTTTAAATACCTGAATTTGATAAATCACAACCTGGGGACAGGGAGGTGACCTGGTTGTGTTGCTTTACTATAGCAGAGAAAACTGAGTCACCAGGTACACTGTGCTGTAAATTCAGGGTTGTGTAAATTCCAGGACTGGATGTACAGACATACACATTCTTTGGCAAATAAGACAATTCTCATATGTATTTTAAAGATGTATTTAACTGTTTCTTAGAGTTCAATATCATGAATATATTGTGTAGACTAATGTGTTTCATAAAAATATATATTTATTCTTGTATTACATGGCATTGCTATTCTGATTATTTGTGCATTATATTATAGGGTATCAAATTTACTGGTAGAGCATACTCCAGCAGGTAGTGTTGTGTATAGATCTGTAAATGAGTGGCTTGAAGGCATTAAGATGGGCAGATACACAGATACATTTATGGAGAATGGATACACTTCAATGGATGCAGTGACCCAGATGACTTTGGAGTAAGTAATGCATTGTATTAGCGAAGAAAGACTTATAATATACTGTACAAATGGCAGCCTTATTTACTTATTACAGCTCCCTAGTTATTATTGTATCTTGCTGATCTCCTTATCTCACTGTAAGTCTAAGGAATGTCTGATTGAAAACACTTTGTATATGCACTCTCCAATGACTGGATACGGTCACATTGCTCCTGGTAGCTATAGGCTGTGTGGTCTTTGCCCTGGCTTTACGTTTCATTAAGAGGTCAGAAATCACAATTTTTTTTCATTAAGGAAAATTTTGAGGGATATCAAAAAATAGTGCTTGCTATATCATGTAATCTTATAATACAATACCTGATATACAGTATGTCATATATATTGTCTACCTCAGTCATTGTATGATTCTGGTTAATACATTTTACCAAGTGAATCATGGATGAGAGTTTAAAACAAAGAGTAGTAATTGAGTTTTTGATAAAAGAGGGTTGTTCGGCTTTTGAAATCCATACGTACCAGAAGAATGGGCATGGTGATGCAGTAACTGGTGTGAGTAATGTTAGGCATTGGGTACAGAAAGAAAAAAAGAAAAGAAACTGAAATTGTTGACAAGGATTTAAATGGTACCATTTAAGCTCTAATAGTCCTTGTGTAGAATTTTTACAAACTGGATTTGGGGCCGCAGTATAGTGATGGTGCAAATACATTAAACATAATGGTTAAAGGTAACTTTGAGTACAGGAATTTTAAGGCTAACTGTATGTATGTTAATTTTCTCCAACTCTGCATAACTAAAAAATATATATCTCAACAGGCAATACTTTTTGATTGCCCCTTGTAAAATAACTTTTTTCCTAGTCATTGTAATTAATTTTTTTGTTGTACAAATAAAGAATAGATGGTGCACCAATGACACTGGTGTCTCAGAACATTATGGGTTGGTTTTCTAAAAAGATAGCACAAAAGAACCCATTCACTTTTAAACTGTGTCACTCTCCTGTGTAGAATCTGTAGGAACCTTTACAGAGCAGAGAAATGAGAGAGAGAGTATGTATATTCTGTAACCCATTCAGCTATGTGTGTAATTTGAGCTTCCCCTATTAAGCTCAGCTAATAACTGATCTTTTTCAGCAAAGTAGTTATGATTATCCTTGTAGACAAGTTAAAAAGAGTCTAGCACGTAATCTGTTGTTTGGAAATAGGTTAATATTATTAAAGGAGAACTATGAGGTGAGTGCTTTTCACTCACCTCATAGTTCTAGCCGACCTGTGACAATGAGACTGTCACAGGTCGGCTCAGTAGATCGAGAGGTGAGCGCACACATAGCAGTGTTCGCTCACCTCTCGATCCTGTCACAGCCCTCTGCCGTGACAGGGGAGGGGCTGGATTCCCTCCCCCCCCCACTCCGATCCGCCAGCGCTGACTGTTCGATCGGACTGGGAAGGGGGCGGGTACAGCTGGCTCTGCCTCTAGATAGGCAGAGCCAGCTGTCACTAATGCAGGTGGGCGGATCCAGACATGATTATCGGGATCCGCATCAGCTGCGGCGTCTCAGTATACCGCGAGCAGTGGCTTAGTGTGATGGAAGGACGCTAGTTTGTGTCCTCCCGTTACCCTAAGGAGAACTATGGGGAAAAGCCTTAACCCCACAGTTCTCCTTTAATATGTAATGCATCATATTAAAACCCAACTATTTTTTTTTCAAATTATATAGTCTCCCTGGGCAGTTTAGAAAATGGCTGCAATTACCACATTCAATGCAGAGCAATCTCTTACAGTACCTCTTCTAGGGCACATAATGCCTTCAGTCTATTGGGTTAAATGACATTCACCTAGAAGACCAAATACTTTACTGTGAATGCAGGGCACCCTAAAGTGTACAGGTGCAGAGAGTAGGTAAAAACTGTTCAGCCTGGAAAAGTGGTGAAGAGAAAAGGACCCTGTGTTGTCTCGTGACTGACCTGAAGACTTTGGAAAAGGTGAGTATAAACAAACAAATACAAACATAAAATACACACTGAGGGACCTTGCAGAGAAGGGGGCAGCCTGGAGAAGGGGGGTGTTGTGCCAGAGTTATAGCTGTAGTTCCACTTTAATAGAAATATACTTTTTGATTGAATTTCTCTTTCTGTATGTAATCTTAATTATTTCAAGTCCATGTTTAATAAAATAGATTGAATTAATAGTGTATTTTATGAAAGCGAAAACTAATAGATAGTAATAGTAAAAGTAATAGAAGTACTGATTTGCTGATTTTTTTCAAAAAAATGTTTGAAGCATTAAATCTGCTAAAAATCCTGTGTGTGTTTCTCTTCTTCAGTGATTTGAAGAGGTTTGGAGTGACTCTGGCTGGTCATCAGAAGAAGATAATGAATAGCATCCAGGAAATGAGAGCCCAGTTGTTGAATGGAATGGTACCGTTGTAATTGTACCATTCTGCATCCAAGCAAGCCTGCACTTTGTAACCTGTCCAGAGATTTATAGGCATAGAAAAAAAGGAAATGAAAAAGGGAAGTATAACGCTATAGAAAAACTGAAAGCGACACAATGAACATACAACTGATAACTGGAAAAAAAATCAGTATTTGACTCAAACTTCCATTTATTTTTTATTTTGTCTGTGTCATCATTCTTCATGAGTAATTGCTACATGCATGGGACCCAGAGCAGGATGTAGAGGCCTAAAGTGAGGTTAGCCAGTTGTTTGGCTATTGTTACAAAAGACTTCCCATGATGCTTTGTACAGGAATTGTATATAGCATCTTGATACTGCTTTCATTGTAGCAGCACGCTAAATACTTCCAAGGACTTACTTGAATGGATCATTAAAAAAAAAAAAAGTTTTTGTAGCCATGTACGGCCTAGGGGGGATAAAGCTGCAGTTTTCTGACGTTTACTAAGTCTCAATTGTCTACAAAAGTGTATTGAAGAGCAATATGTTTAGATTTTCTTCTTAGTTATCTTTTTTTTTTTGTAAATGAAAAAATGCTGTTACACAGCATTATGGTATGGAAGTGTATGTATAAACAAGTTGCTTGATCAGTTGCAAATACAATATATTTATTTTTTGTTTTTGTGTTTTGAGTTTCCCTGTTTGTTTGCTCTTTAGTGATTTAACGCATTAAATGATAACTAGGATTACCATGTATATATTGTACAGTTTGCTACTCTCCCAGGTATATTTTGTGCTGCCACTAATGTCTATAGTTTGCCATTCCATTCTTACAACATCCTAGATACATTTTGAATTAATGAAAATACAAAGCAGAAAAAATAACAAAAATATCCATCTTATCTATTTTGTCTTTTTAAACAACTATCCACAATAATTTCTAAGACAACATTTTGCAAAGACCGAACTAAAACAAAACAGGGTATATGTTTAAACATACAAAGTGGACTTGTTCTAATACATGATTAAATAGGAATTTAATATTTTGCTTCAAAGTGTTCTAGTTTTTTTTAGGAAGTTTGCAATAAATATTTCTGCTTTACGTCTTATTTGTTAGAGGAACTTCTAAAGAAAAACAAAGCTTTTGCATTACATAGAATACATATCTAAACTTTATTCTGAGAATTTAATGTTGGGCTCTGGACTTTGCTTATTACCAAAGTTCAGACCCACATTGAAATAAAAATAGGACCTTCTACAGCTCAGTGATTGCACGTTCACTTACTATAGAACATTACAAAAACAAACTGCATGTTTATTCCTGGTTTACAGCATAACAAGTATAAATTTACTTTATTTTTCATGCAAACATTTAAAAATGTAAAATTACAAATTGTGCATGCATCCGTACTTGTTTTACCTTTTGCATTATCCACATTTCATATTTTCCATATCTCATCTTGTAGAGTCTGTTCCTCTGCCTTAATGAGAGGTGATTAAGGGTTGCTACAGCCTAAAGGATGTGATGTAATAATGCACTCACAGGAAATTTTCTGTAGGAACTATTTTCATTCTTAAACAGGAGTTTGCAGCCCTGGGTATCCCTGGTTCAAATCCCAGTCAGGACACTGTCTGCATGAGTTTGCATGGTCTCCCTGGGCTTTTTCCTCCCACACTCCAAAGGTATGCTGGGAGGTTTTTCTGGCTCCTATCTAAATCGGCCCTGTGTGCAAGTGAGATAGGGACCTTAGATTGTAAGCCCCTTGAGGGCATGGACTGATGTGAATGTGCAGTATGTAAAGTGCTGCGTAAATTGTCAGTGCTATAATAATTCCTGTAATTAATAAATAAATAATAGGGTGTTTCTCTCCAATTCTACTGCTTTTTTAGCACGCATATGTTAATAACTTCACTAAATACTGCTGCCAATCAAACGAGAAGGCAAAACACAAGACAGGACTGGGAAAGGTCACCGTATTCTGTGCAGTGATAGTATCTGTCCCTTATGCAAATGTAGGAGCATAATGACATATTAAAAGGGAGTAGTGGAAAGTGTATCACTTGTGACCTATTAGCCAGAAGAGATGAAGCCAAAAGCTCATAGAGAATCCCAGGTCCAGTACTATGCCAGCAGCTAAGAGAACTTGTGTAAAAGCCACAAGACATACATAGTTTTGCATGTGTGCATGCATGCACTATTTTTAATTTTCAATTTCAGAGTGTTTGCAATAAAAAAAAACTTTAGTATTGCTTTTTTCCCCCCGTTTTTTCCGATAATCATTTTGATTGTTCAACAAAACATTGGTCTTCCAAAATATGAGAGCACATTTATTATATGTAATTTAATACACATATCCTCTTTTCTTTTCTGTTGTCAGCCTATACCAATGCAGTACAAATAATATTTTCAAAACTATAGCACATTTGCATGTCAATGCTGTATTTACAGGGCATATGCCATGAAAAGTTAAAATTGTGTTACACTTTTGTTAGAAATCATCCACAATCCTTGCTGCACCAATTGAAATGTTATACATGATTACAAAGCTGTAACTGTGAATTATTAATTGTGTTTTTCTGCTAAGAACTGATTCTAATGCTGGTCAGACACGTAAGCTGTTTTGGGCCAGAAGTTCTGTTCAGTAGTCATGCTGAAAGATAGTGCTAGATGACTCATAGTTATAATATATTTAAGCCTACCTAGGTTTTTCTAAACATAGTTATGATAATTGCGTCACTAGAATTCTTTATGTCCCACTTTAAGGTACAGATGGATTGATTGTTTATACACATTTTAACAGTGGTTATAATTCTGGTTACAATGTGTAAGTGATGGATAAAGGTTTGAAAAAAAAGAAAAGGAAAGCAAATACATAGGGGCTCTCTATTGCTTCAGTAAATCTACAGTGATGCATGATTGTGTATATCGAGAAGGTTCAGGTTCTCCTTTACGATGGGGTCAAGAGAAATTCCAGAGGCTCCAGATTTGTTGTTCAAGCACATTTATGTGCAGATTCACCCAGGAGGATTTTTTTTAAAACCATAATGTGCTGCATAGCCTTTAAACTATTGGCCAATAAGGGGGCATTTGCATAAGCCAATCCCATCACTATAAAAAAAGGGGGAGGCACAGCACAGCCATAGTGTCAGTAGATTGCTGACTAACTGTATAGGGAGAGTTAGGGGGTGATTTACTAACCTAAACACACGCACGCACCAGGTGTGTGTGATTTTCACACAGCAAAACGTATTCATCAACCAAAAAGTCTCTAAAAGCATATTTCCACTAATGCCATATATGGAAAAATCATGCACATGATGCATATATAATGCTGCTTCACAGTTTAGACAAAAATGGTTAGCTAATGCATTTACATTCCTGCATTCATCAACGCAAGCAACATAACATAGAGCTAATTTACACCACATTACCTTGCAATTCATTGCAGGGCTTTGCACAACACACCTGCTGGGTGTGTACACACTACAAAGGTGTTTCGATTCCTCCCATAGCTCATGCTGGGAGGGAACACACTACAGAGGTGTATACACGTTCATGGTTTGTTTATAAGGTTAGTAAATCAACCCCTTAGGCTCAGTTAGGAAATTGTACTTTATTTTTTGATTTACTAGCTCTTTGGACAATAAACCCCATTTGTTGTTTTTTTCTTATTATTATTATGTTTTTTTGTCTTTTGTGTTTGGTTTGAGGTCAGCAGTCACTTTTATCTGCTGTCCAGTCTATAGAAAACCTTTTTGTTTGCTGCAAGGTTTCCCTTTAAAAATAGTGGGCTTTTGGTTTAGGGGTAGTATTTGAGTGTTTTCATTTCTTTTAATTTTAGTTTTATAGTGATAGGGAATATTTTATATTTTCTAAACCGCTGCATTCGCTTGTTACCTACAATTTTTTCTTAGAGATGCATCTTGTGATCATCACACTGTTGAATTGTTTGAAAGTAAAATGCAAATTTGGTGTGCACCTAAACCATCTCACAATATATCACTATAATATAATACATTCACCGACACCCCCACATGCGGTTAGATAAAATAAAAGGCATTTACAGGTTAGGCATATTAACCCTAAATAAAACCAACTGCTGGACAGTTTTACACTACTGTTTTCTTTATAGTGTCTTAATTCTTGTAGTAAAGCCTGAGTCTGAATTTGGGCCTAGCTTTGCTATCTAAAATTGTCCTGCTGCTTGTCAATTTTACATTGCTGTGTCAACTGTGGTCTCTTAATTCTTAATGAGCATTTGATAGAAAATGGCCAGCAACAGAGCAGTTTTGCATCGGCAAGAACATGGACAGCCATAGCACTGTCCAATTTCTATATTCCGGTCAAAGGGGACCTATTATTTTTTGACAAAAAACATGTGTCTCTTCTAAAACTACATGAAAAAACCTTTTTTTGCTGCTGCTGCTGCTGCTATATGTAAGCCGAGCTAAATGTAAAAAAATATATATATATTCCACATCCAAATATGCTCTGACAATGTACGCTGTCAATGAGATTGTCCATAAAAATCTCAGTATTCTGTAGCTCCATGATTAAGGAATCCCCTAAGCATTGTATTCCTCCAGTTGTATGGTATTTTTTTTTAATGTATTTTGCATTGATACACCCCCCATGGCAATGTGTAGCTTTTCAGTGTCTAGCTTTATTTTTACAATGTTTGCTTATTAGCCTAAAATAATCACAACAGGAGTCACCCCTTTAGACGTTAATGGCATTCACTGGCAAGTTTGAGTTTGCCAAATTTCAAACAGGATTCACCAAACCTTGATCAATTAAACTAATTCAGATTCACCCATCCCTAATAATATACAACTAAGAATAAAATGTACTAAATATGTGTCATGTTAAGCACAGTATAAATGCAGGCTAATTAATAATATGTTCCTGTTTTTCAACACATAGGAGGGTTCTTTAAAACCAACACATTTTTAGCTAAATGTTTAAAGTGCATATTCAACAGAGTCTGACAGAAATGTTTGAATGTAAGCATATGCTGTTAAAGTGAATGCCACTTTAAAATGAACCTGTTAGAATACTTGGTTGTCATTACTGAATTGTGCAAGGTCCAGAGCTGTTATACTTCCTTTTCTACTTTCTCATTTCATAAAGGGCATGTGCACTAGTCCACTTTGCCTAGTCTCTAAACCTAAACTAACCTAGAACCCTACCACCCAGCAGTTAACATACCTCAGCAAGACAGCCCCAACCTTCTTTACTGTTTATATCCAGCTGGTAGAAATCTTCAGTGTTGGCTGCACCTGTACTCCAAAACTAGAAACAGATTGAGAGTGGTTTCTTAAAGGACAACTTCACCGTTAGTTATCCTTTAATAACTTCCCACCACCACCAGTGCAGTTTGCCTATGATAATGTTTACCTTCGCATGCATGCTGTGGCTTAATTCAATTCATGTGTAAACTGAACTCATGGCGCCCTCCAGCAGTCTCCAGAGTATAACTCACCCATAGAAATGAATGGGCCATGCACATTATAAAAAAGGATCAAATGGTACTCAAATGGTCAGAGGAAAGATTGATGGATCATTGTTGTTATC